CTTACCCCTCTGCTTCCACCTATCCCACCCCCTTGAATCCTCATACTCATTCTACAATAATGGTTTTACGCAGTATTTGTCCTTATTGCACTGAGTTAGTTCATTTAGCATATAATGGCCTTTAGTCCCTCCCAAGTTAGGTAGCAATCTACAAAATCATTGCTTCTGCATTCTGCATAGTATTCCACTGTGTGAATATACCATAATTTCCCAATCCACAAGACAGCAAGCAATAAATGTTGGAGAGGATGCACCAAGATAGGAACTCTAATATATTGTTGGTGGGACTGTAAAATAGTAAAACTACTCTGGAAGGCAGTTTAGCCCTTCCTCAAAAAACTGAATGAATACATTCCATATGACCCAGTTATTCTACTGCTTGGAATATACCCCAAAATAATGAGAACTGAGGCACAAATGGAGACCTGTACACCAAGGTCCATAGCAGCATTATTCACCATCACAAAAACATACAAATAGCTCAGAAAAGTTTTGACATTAATTCTACCCAAACTATCCCAAACATGAAAAAGGAAGAAATAACCCCTGATCCATTCTACAAAGCCAATATAAACCTAATACCTAAGTCAGGCAAAGACACAACTTAAAAAGAAAGTTATGTATCAATACCCTTCATGAATAGCACTCACTCACTCATTGCTCCAAGGTGACTTCTAATCAGTTTTCAAAGGCTCTAATTGCATGGAAGAAAATGTCTCATGTTTCTCCTGGGAAGTTACAAGCATATTTGAACCACCAGAGAGGCACCATTTGTAGGTTAGCGGCTTAACACCCTACCTACTAGGCTACCAGGGCTCCTCAATTAACAAAGACAAAAAATTCTCAATATATTTTAGCCAATAGAATGAAACACCATACAAAAATTTTTTTAAATTAACTCAAAGAAAAATCATAATCAGCTGTGTTTCACATCAGGCATGCAAAGATGGCTTAATAATGGAAAAATCAATCAGTGGAAATCACCATACAAATTTAACAAAGGAGAATAATCAAGTTATCATCTCAATGAACTCAAGAAAAGTATCTGACAAAATTCAATGCCATTTCCCGATAAAAACTCTTGGCAAAATAGGAATATAGAAGAAATTTCTCAAGATAGTTAAGGACGACTGAAGGAGAATTCATGGCTTTGAATTGTTGTGCTGGTAAAAAAGGAATGAAAATCCATGGACTAGCCAAAGAACAAACAGGTGTGTCCTGGAGGAAGTGCAAACAGAGCACTCCTGGGAGGTGGTAACGGTGACACGTCATCACTCGTATATGAGCATACGGTCAAGAGGGGCCAGTCCTTGGAAAAGCATGCTGGGCAAGTACGAGCTTCAGGGAAAGACAGCAAGAGCTTCAACAAGATGGACTTTCACAGTGTCTATAACAGGGGGTTCTAGCACACCAAAGGTCATGAGGATGGTGCAGAACAGACCAATGTGCCAATCTGTTACTGACAGGGCCACTATGAATAGCAGTCAGTCAACAGAGGGCACATAATAACAACGGCATGGAAAATTGACAGTCTATTCTAATCTCAGAGAAGAAAAATGAGAGCAATGACTTTGAGAAAAAGAACTGGACTGTTGTTATTGTTATGTGCTATGGACTCTAAGAACAACGGTTCTGAACCTTGCTCTATCCTTAGCCAAGCTCACTATCTCTGACACATCTAACCACTGCCACAGTCACTGTCAATCAATATGATCCAGGATCTGCTTTTCCTGCGATACTGTCCTTCTCCAAGGACTGGTCATTCCTGGCAATGTTTCCAAAGTCTGTAAGATGGAGCTTCAAAATCCTTGCTTACAAGGAGCAAACTGGTTTCACCATCTCCAGGATAAACCTATTTGTTCTTTTGGCAATCCATGGGATGTTCAGTGCTCACCTTCAATGCACTACAGTTCAAAGGCATCCATTATTCTTCTGTCATCCTTATTCATTGTCCAGCTCTCACATGTATGGCAAGTAATTGGAAAGATAATGGTCTGAACCATGTGCACCTTAGTCCCCAAATGGAAAGAATTACTTCTCAATAATTTGGAGGGGTCTCTAACTGTACAGTTCCCTAGTCCAACACATCTCGTGATTTTCTGACTGCTGGTACCAATGGTGTTAACTGTCAATACAAGCAAGATGAAGTTGTTGACAGTTTCAATCTTCTCTCCATCCACAGTGATGTTACCTATCGGTCCAGTGGTAAAAATCTTAGTTTTCTTGACAATGGGATTCAATCTATATTGAAGTCTATATTCTTTGATCTTCTGTAACAAGTAATGTTTTTTTGTCTCACATAGTTTGGGCCTGTTGTTAGGAGTGCGATGATAAAATGGTAAAACCACTATGACAACATTATGATGCTTCCTTTATAATAGAAATGCCTCTGGATCTAATAATCCAATTCCTAGGTATGGATCCTGAAAACATAAGTGCATTGACATGGATAGAAATATGGACACATATATTCAATGCAGCATTAGCTGTAACAGTAAAAATGACAGAAATAATCTAACAGCACATAAACAGATGAACGGATAACCAACCATGGGACATAATCAAATATCTATCACACAGCTATAAAGATCTCTATAAATGAATGAATCTGAAGGACATTCCATCGAATAAAACATCTCACTGCCATTGAGTTGAAACCAACTCATAGTTGACCCCACCCCCACCCCAGTGGGTTTTCAGGGGCTGTAAATCAAACAAAAGAAGAGACTGTCTGTTGAACCTTCAGCAAGGAGCTGCCTTAAGGTTAACAGTTCAACTCCCTCCAATAAAAATGCCGCAAAGCCAACCACAAAAAGACAAATATTGTAAGATCTTGCTATTAGAAATATCAAGAATAAATATACACTCAGAAAGCAAAATTCTTTGATGGTTAGCAGTGATGAGCGGGAGAAAAGGAAGGAATCTGTCTAGACCATAAACATTTGATACTTTTGGCAATGGGAAGATAAAAACAAAATATAATCACGCTTCCACTGATTAAGTTCTAATCTATAGTGACTTCCTCTTGGGTTCTGAGGCTGTAAATCTGTACTGGAGAAAACTGCCCATATTTCTGATGGTTTCAGAGTTTCTTATGGATTTGAACTGTTTAACTTTTGGCTAGCAGTCAGATACATTAGATACTATTGCAGCAGGACTCCCTGAAGATGGAAAGACAATCTTTAACATGAGTAAATTTAGCAAAATATGATCAAGCCAAATAAAAACATAATGAAGAATATTCAGGCAATACTCTCAACAAGAAAAGAGTAAACAATGCAATCATGAAAAGGGCACAAGACATGAACACTTAACAAAACAACAACAACAACAAAAAAAATCAAATGGCCAACATGAAGAAAGTTCAAAATCCTTAGCTATCAGAGAGATGCCAATAAAAATAAAAATGAGGTATCATCTCACACCAGCAACAATAGCTAAGTTTCACAGGACAGGAAACAGTACATGCTGGGAAGGATGGGGAGAGATTAGAACTCTTATTCACTGCCGGTGTGAATGTAAATTGGTACACCCACTATGGAAGGCAGTCTGGTAATTTCTCAAAAAGTTGGAAATAGAAAAACCATTTGACCTAGCTATCCCACTATTAAGAAAACATCCTAAAGGAGCAAGAGCCACAACACAAACTGATATATGTTCACCTATGTTTACTGCTGTGTTATTCACAATAGTGAAGAGACGGAAGCAGCTCGAGTACCTAAAACAAACGAAAGGATAGAAAAACTATGGTACATTCACACAATGGAATTTTACACAATACAAAAAACAATTAACTTATAAAATAATACTCAATATAGATGAGTCTGGAAGACATTATGTTGAGCAAACTATCTCAGTCACAAAGGACAAAAATTGCATAACACCGCTATTATAAAATAAGATTGACACAGGGTGGGGTGGAGGGAAAAAGGAGAAGAGTAGATGAAAAATGAATACTACACTGAAACAGGTGAAGGACTGTCTTAAGCAAAGATATGATTAGGTATTATATGTATGATAATTAAAAATCTGGAACAAGAAATTCTTTACAAAGTGAATTAGGTAAGGAACAGGAGGGAATGAATGAAAACCCAGTCTTGTTAAAACCACAATTAAAAAAATAACAGAAAAGTACATCATCTACTTGGGAATCCACTTGCTAAAAAACATGCCTCTGGACAATTCTATGCACTTTGATAAATGTCGATAGTTGTAGAGGGCTTCAGGCCTTTTGTTCAGAGGGTCGCTATGAGTCATGCTGGACTCAAAGACAATCAACAACTTAGGAAAGAAAGTAAATGAGAAAAAGGACAATTTCAGTAAATGTTATAACATAGGCAATAAAAACCAGATATAATTCTTTGAACATTGAGAGCAGTGAGCATTGTTGGAGGAAAGGCTGATGCTGGAACTGACAGGAGGAAGTGTGGAGTTGGGGGTCATGTTTGACCTCACAGGAATCAGTTTTATGCTATTAGGGTTATGGATGGGGAATGTCTCCTTGTGGAGTTAGCGGTGGTGAAACATTGTCCCCACACCAACAGCACTACTTTTACAGCTGCTAGCCCAAAGGTTAGCTGTTTGAATCTACTTTGTTCCATGGGATAAACACGTGGCTGTCCGTTTAAAAAAAAAAAAGATTACAGCATTCAGGACCCTATGGGACAGTTCTGTTTTGTCCTACAGAGAAGATATGAGTCAGAATGCACTTGAAATAGCTGGCTTGTTTGTCGTTTGTGTGTGCTGCATACATATCCAGAAATATAACAAATCGTATGGGGCACAGTTATATGAAGTTCCTACCACATCCAGACAAAAGAGGGAATGGGTCAAACTGGCTTACTGCGTCAAAGTGCTTGTACCACAGCCTGGGTACATCTTAGCCAACAGGCCTAGCATACAGTTCACAAAGACAATGTGCCGCCTAGCAGTTTGATGAATGGAGGCAAAAGTCTTAAAAGCTGGTGAACAGCCATCCGAGAGTTCACACATACACGTACCTTTTCTTCTAGCTGATCCTTCACACACTGATACTTTATCTTCAGTTTTCTGTGCTCTTCCTCATTCTGGGCTAATTCTTTGGTCAGCCTGTCACACTGTGATTTCACCTTCTCCAGCTGCCGGAGATGAGTTTTAACTATATTCTTATCTTCTATACTTTCTGCCTGAGAAAAAAAGAAACAGAGACAAAAGAAAGTCCACTGGCCACACCCAACACTTTGCACATTGCATGGATGGGAAGAAACTTCAAGATTTTCCTCTCACCAAGCATTTATACATGAGCGTTAAAACATACCGAAATGTTCTTTTACTCAACCACACAACAATTTACTAAGAATTTACTAAGTGGTAGGGACTGTACTAGGTGCTGATAATACAACATTATATTGCTACAATGAAAGAAAAGGGCTTACTAAAGGAGTAAGTGGGGCATTCTGGCAAGCCACTGGAGGCATACTAATTCAGCATGAAAGGGGAAGAAGTTATTAGCAGAATATCCCAAAAGGGAAATACTACGAGATGACGGTGCTGACTGATAATTTCTTCATCTGTAAAACAAGCTTAATGACAGTCCTTTTTACCTACTTCCCGGTTGTTGTGCAATAATTGTGTGCTTTGGGGTTAACATAATTAATTGCACCACCCTTGTGGGGCTAAAGGGATTATGAATTGTAGCAGCCAAGAAAGTACAAATAACTTAATATGAAAAAGAGCTTAACTGTGATTATTTCAGCACCAATTGTATAACAAAGCACCTGTTCTTTTTATCTTTATTTGCAACATTCTCAGAATCAGCTTTAAAAAAAAAAAAAACCAAAAAACAGAAACAACAAAAACAAAGCAGAGCCCAATTAGGAATCAAATACTCTGCAAAGAGAATCTAAGAAAGATTTCCCAGCTATGTCGAGTTACAGACTTTCCAAATATCATTAATGACATAAGCATTGTGCTAGGAAATGATTTCACGACCTTTATGAATAGTTTTTCATTTTATCCTGACAACTATCTGACAAGGTCGATGCTACTTCTGTCTCCCTCTCCTTTTAAAACTGTAGCAGTGAGAAATGTACCCAAGAATATTATAGTGAGTGCAGAGACAAGGTGTGAACTCAGGAAATCTGGCTTAAAGACCCAAGCTTTCAACTAGTCCAATACATTGATCTTTAAAAAAGAACACCTATCAAAAGATTTTTAATAAACCAGCTGGCTACAAACTGCAATGTGTATTACAAATTATGCATCAAGCTTGTTTAAAAATACATGCTTTGGTGTATAAAATATATTATCTCTACACCTATTTTGTTTATACATTTAGTAGAAATTTTTAATCCATTAAGTAGTGGTAGCACAATCTTTGGAAGCAATCTCAGGAAAGGAACAATTTTGTGAGTTTTAGGCAAAAATCTATACTCCTTCACAAAAGTTACATAAGATTTATTGTCACTTTGAATAAAGGAATTGATTTTTTTTAAATGTACAACTCTATATTTACAACCCCAAACTAAAATGCACAAGATATAATCTCTCATTAGGAAAATTGCTCAATTACAATTTTAGGTTCTAGTAGGTTGCTTTCACTTTTGTTTATGTCCAATGAAAAAGCACAAGTGTGGATGGTTTCGCTCCTGTGTCAGTAAGTGTACTGGGACTGGCTGAAGAGATGGCAATAGTCAACAGTGCTCATCTCGTCTCAGTTCTAAGCGAGTGCAAAGATTGACCAACTGAAATCTGACAAGATGTGACTATTGACACCACTGGCCATGACAAATGCAGTGACAAAAGGGTTTCCCCTAGAGAAATGCAGCATTTGAAGGGCTAAGTTTGACTCATGACTCACTGTTAGGGTTTTGCTATTTTAACATGTCCCTTAGTACAACACCATCTGCACAATCCTGTCCAAGGAAAACCATGACTATTCTCATTTCACCATGCTTAGTAGAGGATCGGGGGCGGGGCGGGAAGAAGGAGATCCTCAGCAAGATGGACTGAAACAGCAGGAGCAAAAAGGACACCATTCTGGGGCCTTCTGATTGCAAATAAAACACATTACAAAATTATTTCAGTGACAATATGAAATATCTTGCAAAAAATTAATAGCAGCTAGGTAATTTTGTAAAAATATTATCAATTTAATTTCTTAAGAAGCATGAAAGGATATTCAAGAATAAGAAAAACTATATGCTTGTTCTGTCTGGGGAAAAAATAAGAGCAATATATTGGAGTTTAATAGAATAAAAAATCAATATTACGGTAAGGCTGAAAGACACAGAACTATTTATAGAGAGCTAAAGAGCTACCTTTGGAAGCAGGAGTGGCATCCTCTTCCTAAACAACATGCCTCTGGAAACTCTATGAACTTGGATAAATGTGGATGGTTGTAGAGGGGCTTCAGGCTTTTTGTTCTTAGGTTCATTATGAGTCGTGCTTGACTCAAAGTCAATCGTCATCAACAACAACAACAAAGAGCTACCGGCACAAAACCCAACAGAGCATACTCCAACAATTTCATCTTCCCTGACGATCACTATTATTAAATCCTTTTAATTGATATAAATAAAAAGCACAGTCTACATGTGGCAGGACTTGCTCTTCATGGGCCACTCTTTTGGGTTAAGTGCATTTGCTTTAAAGGACATGGATGCCACCACACTGCCCAGCTCTCTCCTTAGTTCTTGCCCCACTGTGTGTCAGTGTAAAAAGTAGCACAATACACTATGTAGACCACAGTTTTAAATTTAAAACTCTAAACCCTTCAGAAGATTCACAGAGTATTTCTAAATTAGAATTCTGTACACACGGGGTATTTCTTGAGGCTTTCTTATCATCTTATCATAAATGAAGGAATAGCACTTCTTCAATGAAAGATGAAGATAATCAATTTTCCAATTATTATGTGGAGAAATCCAAACTAGAAAGATCACTGAAAGAGTCAAGAACAGAAATCCTCTCTTCTCAAGCTTGTTAAAGAGTTCAAGCTAACAGTTGCTGGGTCTCCTCTGTAAATACAGAGCACCACACTTGATACTTTATGAGGATTAAAAGATTGCTAAAATCTGAGGCCTGCCATCCTAGAGACTTAAAAATACACACCAACTTATTATACCCTGTCTCTTCAAAAAAAGGAAAAAGAAATAACCAAAACAAACAAATAAACCTAGCTGTTCAGAGTCAATTTGAACTCATGATAACCTGGAAGGGAACTACAACCTTTATTCAAAGGCCAATATTTTAGAAAGAGATCAGTAGGCCTTGCTTCCAAGGTAACTCTGGGTGAATCCAACCTCCACACTTTCTGTCAGCAGACAAACACATTAGACATGCATTTGCACCATCTAGGGACTCACAGCCTTAGTACAATGTAGAATAAATAAAAACAGAAAACTAGAAACACACAAAAAAAATTCAAGGAAAACATAGAGGATTGAAAGATTTATAACCACCTTGAATTTTAAAACTACTTATATATATGTATATATAAGTTTGTCCTAGAGAGGGTGAAGCCAGAATGTTCCCTGGAGTCAAGGATTCTGAAGCTTCGTCTGACATACTTTGGGCATGTTGTAAGGAGGTCCTTGGAGAGGGACACCATGTTTGGGAGAGTGGAGGGATGGCGCAAGAGAGGAAGACCCTCGATGAGATGGATCGATTCAAGTTTGGCACAGGATAGAACGGCATTTAGGGCTCTTGTACATAGGGTCGCTATGAGTCGCAAACGACTCGATGGCACATAACAACAAACAAATGTGTGTGTGTGTGTGTGTGTGTGTGTGTGTGTGTGTGTGTTGTTTTTGATTGCCTTCCAGTCAAGTATGACTCATAGCAACCCTATG